CAAAGTATAACTCTGTATAACAGATAAGCAGTGTAGCACGTTAGATGCTTTTTCTTCAGTGTCTTACAAATAATAGTTGTATACTTTCTATTGCATGGTGTAATTTTTCTTTTTTTTTCTTTTTTTTTTATTTTCTTTTTCCCAAAAAGGAATGTGCTAGTTTTGCTTAATTTCAAGGAAAAACACCCACTCTTCACTCTGAATAAGGCATAAACTCAAGTTTGTGTTCATATAAGTTTTAAAACAACATCTGTTTTTTGCTGCTGTGACTTAAGTGGATCTGTTAGGTGAGTGGGGATGGGCCATTCTCTGAAGTAACAGGTTAAAAGCAAGTCGATATTGGCACCAGACACTGCAACGTAATGGTTTGGAATATTACAGAATGTTTTCTGTCTCATTTTCCTTCTTGTTTTCTCCATTCTTCTTAAAATTGCCTGAGGTTCATTGTTCTGCTCAGTAAGACAGCAGAGTTGGTCTTATGTTGCAGAGAATAGCAGAGACAAGGTGCAGCTTTCAGGCAGTGCTTGTTTTGGAAGATTGCTTGATCTAGTTTGGTAGAGAAAGCTCTACTTTTGTTTGTCTGCTTCAAAACCTGTATGCAATGGAGTCCAGAAACAGAGGACAGAGCACACTTTAACTTGAAAATAAACATTGTTGAAATATTATTTCTCAAGATCATAAAAGTGCAATTAAAAGCTAATAGAACCATTGCACAGTACTAACTTGCACAGTTCTTAGTTCACTCTTGGCTGTCTCAAAGGTCAGGTACAGTGCAGATGACAGTCCTGTCTCTTATGTCATCTGGAGATCCTCCATCAAGCGGAAATGTGATTCTGCTTGCCAGAGTTAAACAGACTGCCCAGCTTCCAGGGCACTGAGAATGTCAGTCCTGATGTCCATGCACTGGTGTCCCTGCATGTAGAGGTTTGTTTTCGCAATGATGATATTTCTAGATATTTGCTTGCCTTCTACCTTCAGAGGTGATGTTTGTGACCTGTACCTCTATTTCCTCTTTGTTTTTATGGATGCTGTGATGTCTTGGCCTTTCCCTTCGTTATTTGTTCCTGAGTTGATCAGTTATCTCTTGCTGTTGTTCTCAGCTGCCTGTTCTCCTCTTTAACCATGTTGGTGCAATGCTGATTACTGTGGACTGTACTAGAACATCAGTAAATGGAAGCTTTTTCTAATTGTGCACCTATGCAGTGAGCTTGTCACCAATAGGATGCGTTAGCTTCCCCCCCCATTATGTACAACCATCCTTTATATTGCTGTGCCACGTGTAACTTCAGATTATTTGTGGAGAAACTCATACCGTTGACTTGGGCAGTACTTTTGTTCCTGTTCAAAATTAGTTTCTTTCCTTGGTGTGTTTCAGCTGATGTCCCAACACAATTGAACAAAAAAGTGCATGGAGAAGTAAATTTTCTGTTTCCAAAACTGCTTTCCATGCACCAATGTACATCCTATTGCAGTCTTGCCACATAAGTTGTCTTTGTCCAGATTGCACAGGCAGTTGTTGGGTCAGGTTCTAATACCAATTCTAGTGTGGTGATATCTGTGAGGGGTGAGAAGCCTTTCACTGTTCTGGCTGTTTCTAATGTACTGGTGGTCTTGGTGCAATCCTTTAAAGCCTCTCGGACTTGCAACAGTGTTGTAATTCCAGAAAGCATTCGTGGTGAAAGGTCCTCCAAAAGCAGTCATGTTCCTGGGAGTGACTGGGGAATAGAATAATTAATCTTGAGATTTGTGCTTCTGAAAACAAGTTGAAAGAAATGTCAGTATGACGACTTTCATCCTGTAGAAACTGCACTTCATCTCCGCTAGAATGTCAAAGTGCTGCAGCTGGTTTCAGTAGATGAAGACAAAGGACTGTTCTTGTGATGCCATGAGAAAGTGGCACAGACAAGCTCTTCAGCTTGCTTTACTTAGGGTATTACTTGAGAGATGGACAGAGCACTGCAACTGAGGCTGTGGGAGAAAGCCATTGCCATGTGGCAACATCGGGAGAAGCACTTTGTGGAAATTGTTGTTAACCTTTTCTTATAGCTTTGAAGATTTATTATTTTTATTTTGTAATTAAGGGTAATTTTATATCTTGCTTTATAGGGAATAATTGTGAGGCAGTTTGTCTCAAGTGTCCTATCTTGCTTCTATGTGTTACGCAGCACCTTTTAGCTGTCTGATGGGATGCCTTTTTTTCCTAGTATAGTGCAAAAAGAATGAGTGGGATTTATTTTATAACTATCATATGCTTATTTGTGATGTAATTTTCTCCTTTTACTAGGAAAATAATGTTACAATAGCCTTCAAGACATTTAATTTTATTTTTTTTTTTTAGGATAAGGCCATTAAGCATCTTAAATGGATGTAAAAATGGGATTAAGTGGATAGTGCAAAATTACGATTTACGCTGAAACAAGTACATAATAATTCAAACTAGATATCACTCAGCTTTGTACTGTGTAACCTCATGAAAGTGGTAAAGGTTTTACTGATGTTATTGAATGTGAGTTTATGGTACAGTTAAGATTAATGGATTGAGTTTAGGACTTGATCTCTTTTTAGGACTATAACCAGCATTACAAATCTTCAGCATGTTACTGGAGATGCAGCATTTCTCTGGGTTCCACTCTCTGTGTTCCTGTTTAGTTCCAAGAGCATGGCAGAATTAAATGACTGTTTTGCTTTCTGGAAGGGTGTTTTATTGAAAAGCCTTCTGCTGACACTCCTGAAGGATGTGAGGTGGTAAAACCTTTCTGGAGTAGTCCATCATGGAAGATCCAAATCGGTGGATTTCTAAGTGAAAAGTTTCTTCTCATTCTGAGTTCAGCACCTACTTAGCTAGTATCCAGAGAAGTTTTGTGTCCTGAATCTCTTTAGTGATGTCCACTGCTTCATTAAAACTGTGGCCACTCTAGCCCATGTCTCTTTAGAATAGTTCCTGACTCCTGATGTCCCTGGCAGGAAGGACAATGTTTTGGAACTGTGTATGTTGAGTATCATTCTCAGTACCTGTTAAAAAGAGTAATATGTAATATTAACTTGCTTGAAGACAGTTTGCTTCCTGTGACATGGCATACTCTTGTTGAATAGACATTAACTGAAGTCTGGGTTTGCCTTACCTGCTGTAACTCCTTTCTTGGCACATGAATGCAGCTTCCTTACTGCTGTCTTAAGCTGTGACTGTGATGTAACATTAGCATGACTATTTGTTCTGTTTGCGGTGAAAAATAGTACAGCAAGCTTCAGTTCAACTCCTGTGGTGCATATTGACTCATTGATTTGTTAAGGATTCTGGTACTGTCTACACATTATTAAAATGGAACTGATCACAAAAGTAAGGTTTCTCTAATAATAATTTGACTATTTTGTGTGTGGTTTTTTATTTTATTTTTAAAATGTATTAGGATAGCTTCTAGATTCCCTCAGATTTGCAAAAATTGTCATGTGTACTATTCACACAAGAAAAAAATCCTGTAAGCTCTTTTAGACTTTATGATCTCCCAGTCATTTCAAGTGGTCTCTCCACACTTATTCCAATTTTGATTAATCCCTCAAAAAGATGAATGATAAGAGTTGAAAATAATCTCATTTTAGATGAGATTTCATCAGTGTCTTGCATTGAGAGCACAAATGTTGCCCTGACCCAACTAGGTGAATCCTACAGACTTGTAGGATTGTTGAAATAAGTAACAAATTTGCTTTTTAATTTATTTAGTGTTTGGATTTTTTATACTTGTTCATCCTTTGCAGAGGGATGTCTTTCAAAAACTTTGTGTTTTTGGTTTGTTTTGAGTTGTTGAGTTACTGCAGTTCTGTGAACGAACATTAACTACACATTTTGGTACTAGTTTAGGGAGCACGTGTCTTGATAGAGTTTCTTAGAAATGTCAAACCAAATGAGAATTTCTCTGAAATGAGTTAAGTTAATATCAGCATCTCCTATCCAAACTGAGGAGTTTTTCTCTTTATTACCCTTTAAACATACAGTTTGTCTTGAAGTTTCTGAGGCATTCTTGTGTGCCATGCCAGCTTCTGCTGCTTGATGCTGCATCCTTAATTGTGAAAGTAAAAGTGCTTATGTAGCTGCTCATTAAACTGGATCAGGGAACTGAACTTGGTTAGAAATAATCAAACTTAGTTATTTTTTTTCTTACTGCTTTTAACCTGGATCATTTGAACGAATTGTTTTGCTGAATGGTCTGTAGTCACATAATTGCAAAAGGATGGCTAATATTATGATAGCAAAGAAAGATGAAAAAAATGGCAACTGGTTAAGGCTTTCTTGTAGCAGCTTAGAAAAGAAAAAACCCAATAAACAACAACAAACCAACCCTCCACAACTCCTTTATTTAAACAGAGCTCTTCACCTCCCTGCTTAGAAGAGTGTAGGTTAGAAAAAAAAGTACTCGAAGTGGTATAGATTTGTATAAACAGAACCTTTCCAAACTGCACAACAAATGAAAGAACTTTGTAGCAGCTTAGATTTTTCCATACTTGTGAGTTATGCAGATTCAAGGTCGTTTCTGCTTGATAGTAGTGGAGAGTCTTTAGTAATCCTGTGTTAAAATCATGAGCAACTGTTGGGGCTCTGTTTGTGTCATCCCAAGGAAGATATAATCCAAAAAAATGAGAGTATTCAGGGTGCTAGGACTAAGGGATGACCTGATTGCTGTACATAACTGTGTGATTGGAGATTACAGACAAGGTGGAACTAGACTCTTTTCAGAGATGCCCAGTGATGCGATGAAAAATGGTGTATACAAACTAGATGGGCTTCACCTGTTTTTCTGTGGTTTTGTACCTTCAGGTACACCGATGGCAGCAAGAAAACTACTTTCCCTTGCTTTTCAAGTTGAATATAATGTGCAACTGGAATGTCCTCTTCATGCTGCTTATTTAATTCATCTGCTAACTTGTTTTTACTGAACATGCAGTAAGATGACAGAATGATGTTTCAATGTACTACATATCTGTAATGATTTTTTTTTTTTCCTCAGCAAATTTGACAGGCCATGCAGAGAAAGTTGGCATTGAAAACTTTGAGCTCCTGAAAGTTCTTGGAACAGGGGGTAAGATGCACTATTTTTAAGTTAAATGTTGGAAGCGTTACTCCTAAGTATGATTTTGTTTTCTAGTTGAGGTTTTGGTAATTGGAACATTCCTTAGGAAGATATCAGTTTTGTATTTTTTTCTCACAAATATTGCGCAAAATTGGAGATCACATGTTGCAGCACTTACAGCACTTTTAAAGATGCGCTGTTTTAAAAAAATGGAAGAATATTTGTGAGAATTTAATATAGTTTTTGAAAAACCTGATCTAAGTTAAGGCACGATCTTGATAATTTTAATAAGTTTTCAAACAATGTTTGGTAAAAAAACAGTAACGTTAGTAAAGTATTGAATCGGATGCTCCACTCTTTAACTAATCTGTTTGAGAGTTGATGTTGGCTCCTCAAGTCTCTCTCTGCCCTAGTCAAATCCCAGTATTTTTTAAGATAAAAATGTTCATTGGTGTACTGGAGGTTTCAGCATGTTGTAGGATGTTGTAGGATTACTGAGTGTAACCAGCAAAAAAACCTCTCTCCTTTGCTAAAGGGACACACACAGAGGCCGGTGTACAGATCAGAAGTAATGACTTTTATTCTTTTTAGGTTGTTTACGTCTTTTTTTCTTTAGTCAGTATTTACATCAGAGGCATTGTTGAGCAGATTGGGATGATCATGTAGGTGGACTACCATCAAGGTCTGTAAAAGTTTTACATTAGTTATATTAAATTTTTGGGTGTTATCAGCCATTAATGAGTAGCAGTGAGGCTATAATTGCACAAATTGCTACATCACTGAAAAGAGCCTAGGGTTTTGATTTTCAGTTTTAGCTGTCATATAGATTCTGTCATAAATTTATTAAGCTGTTAAATCACCCAAGAGTACATTTTTCTGTTTCTAAAGTAAGGGTTTTTTTAAATTTAGATTTAATATGCTTAAAAATGCAACTCTTGCTGTTAAGTTTCAGTAGTTAGAGGTAGAGGCAAGGAAGCTTTAATATTTGTAGATAAATGTTGAACATTCATAGGTAGAAGCAACTATGTTTTTCTGAGTGAGGTTGACAAAAATGAAATTATAAATTATTATGCATTTATGTGAAGATGTCTTTCTCTCCTGCTGTTGGAAACATTGGCTGAATTTGTATTTATACTTATGTGTATATATATGAAAACTTGTCCCATACCAGAATTTTGTCCTTTTTTGTTACCTCTTCCATTAGTCTGAGATCACCGTAATATTACAACTATTGCATTTGGGATACAAAGTAAGTTTTGGTGGTTTCTAAGTGTCAGTCTTCAACTTCAGACTAGTAACCTGACCTACTGTCTTTAGGTAGAACCCCTGAAATACCCTTTTGCTGCTGTTGAACTGTTGTCTGTCGTTCATTGCTACTTTCCACACCCTCTCTTCTTCATGAACAGATTGGTCAAATTTCTCTTAGCCTGGGATACTCTTAACCGTAGCAGGTAATCCATAGGCTCACAGTGCAAAGCTATCCTATTCTCTCAGGTTAACAGGATAATTTTTGAGTGATCCCTTTCAGAAAAGTCTACTTCAATGGCTACATAATGGAATTGACAGTGTATGTATGTGTGAAGTAAAAAAAGAAAAAGCTGACAAAGCATGCCTGTCTGACTTTATCCTGCTCTAGTTGTCTTGTTGCTCCAGAAACATCTTCCGTCTTAGTTCTTGAAATAGTTTGAAGTCTACTAAAAGACTCCTGCAAACTTTAGGACTCCTTGGGTGTTCTGGAATGGCATTTGTAGGAAGAGTAGTTTTTATGGTGTTTGATGGTTTTTTGGTTGTTTTGTTTTTTGGTTCGTTCCCCCACCACCACTTTTTTACAATGCAATTTTAACCATAGCCTGAGGTTCTTGCTTCAGAAATCTAGACCATCAGGGCAGTCAAGAAGCTTTGTTCAGTCTCAAGCCTATCACAACTGAGACTTGTGCACTACATATCTCAGAGGTTGCTGCATGCTAATTATTGGACAGCATTAAATGCCAGTGACCTGATCAGAATGGACCTAGTTCTTTTTGCTTTTGGGGGAGTGACCATCTACCAGTCGTCAGTGTTTGCAGGAACATGGCATAGCTGAAAGCAGGACTGGAATGGACTCTAAGAGGTCCCTTAATTGGTTGGCCCAAGTCACAGTCAGTTACACCTGCATCATCCCTGATGGGGATTCATTCTTGAAAGCCTCCAGTAGCAGAGATTCTGCAACCTTCCTAAGATGTTCTTGCTGAGGATGTTTAATTTTCTTACTTGAGAAACATTCTGGGTATTGCTATAGCATGGCCAGTCTTCGTGAATGAAGATTTTGGGAAAGGTCTTTTACCTTTCAAACCTGCACAGTGGATTTTTTTTTTAGGTGAGACACAACATGCGCTGAACTGAGCCCACCCTTTAATCCTAAGGTACATCTGCCGGGGCCAAGCGAGCTTGGACAATGGCAGTGAGGTCCTCAGGACGTAGGTTTGTTTAGAGTGACCTTCTCATAGACGGATGGCCTCACAGGGCTAACGGGCTCCATCTGCCCGGGGGAGTATCCCTGACCGGGAATCGAACCCGGGCCGCGGCAGTGAGAGCGCCGCAAAGAGACAAGAGTTATCTTTACTCAGGCAGTGAAAACTTTATCCTGGTCTGAGGTTTTAGGTGTTACTGATAGTACTGTAATATAGCTAATACTAAATAAAACTGTGATGCTGTTTTAAAATGCTTCACTGTGGAGTTTTGCAGCATGCAGTGTTATCAAACTGATAATCAGTCTACAGTAACGCAAGGCAGAACATATTGAAACCTCACAGTTACATTAAGTGATGACTGTACATGCTACTTAAACTAATTGCAATATTTTTAAGTATAGTCTGCTATGAAGCAACTGGAATAACCAAAAAAGATATGCAAATCATGTGAAATTCAATGATACTTTAAGTGTATGTAATTGTGGTAGTTTCTTATAGACTTGGTGGTGGTTCTCTTCAGGTAACAGCAGTGAAAGTTTATTTAAAACTTCATTTTTAAGCTTTATGTTTTAAAAATAAAAATATTTAAGATTATTAGAAATAGTTTCCATGTGTGCTGATGTTTCTCCCATGGAAGCAATTTTTTGTTATAACATTTTTTTCATGCCATGTCTTAGCATAATTTCATACTTACTTTTTCTTTAATTTGAATTGATTTCTTACATTTCTTTTTGTCTGATTTCTTCTTATATACTCTCTCAATTGGAGGCATGTTGTTATATTTTGATTTTTGGTATTAAAATAGTATCACAGTATACACTTTCGTCTTTTGACCCGAGTCTTGCAGAAAAGACAAGGAAGCAAAAATCTGAGTTATATCCTTTTAATTGCATTAAAGGGATATTAATAAATAAACTTGAAGAAATCAGTAACACTTTACATCAGTAAAACAAAATACATGACAGTATGCCACTCTTAATAAAGCTGTTAATAATGTACTTGTTGCTCTGGGAGCTCGTTATTACTTGCTTGACTTCTCTGACTTGCCTGTGTTCTACTCAGTATATACTTTTTGCAATTGCAGTCTGTTTTTATTTTCATTTAAGTCCTCTTCTCCTTCTGTTACTGTATAGCCTTGCAAATATGGAATTTTCAGATTTCCTGTCCACTGAATTCATGTTTCCATCTTGTCCCTCCTATCTAGTTAAAGCTTTTCTCTGTGGGACATAGAAAACCAGTGTCTATTCTGTAGAAGAAGGTTACTTTTCATCAATTTAATTGCTTCCCAAAGCAGGAAGGGAACAACAGGAGAAGGTGGCTGTGTTGATTTATGCACACCCACTTGGCGTATTTGCTTCATTCTTTGTAAATATGTTTTTAAAATAACAAAACACTGTCAGAGTACATTCTGGGCCACGCATTTTTCTGTGGATAGATTATTCCTTTTTTTTCTACTCAAGTTTAATAAATGCCACTTTCATTCACTCTTTCAACTGTGCTTAAGAGACAATACAAGTGATTCCTGAGCATGTTCACTAATAATCTGGTCTACCTCTTGAACTACGGTTCACTCATAAAGACAAAAAATAATGAGAAACAAGAATCTAACTACCACATATCAAAGAGAATGTTTTATTCATGATTTTTTTGATTTAAGTGCTTACATGGGAAGAATATTATCCTTACATGTGGAAGTTGCTTAGAATCTGAAGGATTTATTGCTATGAAGGGAACAAAATTAGTGGGATGAATGTCAGATTTAAATAGCCATCTCAAAAATCTTGTTATACAAGAACATAGAATGAAGTTTCATCTAAGTGGTCAGAAAGTATTCTGATAAAGTTAAGACTGTGAAATGGAAGTTAGTTCTTTCAAATCATATTGAAGAAAATATAAAATATTTTCTCATAAAAGGAGGAGAAATAAAGAAGCATGGGTACTGTGCTTAGAAGTGTAAGCCAAAATTAGTGAGTGTTTAAAAATAATTCCAAACTCCAATTAAATATTTTATTTCAATTGCTTCTGAGGACAGCTAGAATGTATCCTGAACGGTAGGTGGGATGGCTAATTGGAGACAGGCCTTGGAAATAGGAAATAATTTTTCTGTATGAAGAACAGACTGAAAAGAGAGAACTATGTTCAATCAAAGAACCTGGACAAATTTGTCTTATTCACCCATCAGAGAACTCTGAAAGAATCTGGACATTAAATTGGAGATAGTAGCAAAGATTCCTACTGGAAATAATGGCAGAAGTGGTTCAGTATAACTGGAGAGAATAGCAATCGCAATCCTACATTTAAGAAGGGAAGAAGAAAGTAAAAATATGATCCAGGCAGCTCTTGGTTAATTGTTCTGGCTTCATCAAACTTCAGCAGTATGCAGTACCTTTAAAACAATTTTTGAAGAAAATTATTTACCTTAATTTTTGTGATACTTAAAAATTAATGTCATGCTTATCCAGTGGTAGATTGTCTTGCATATGTGAGCTGCTTTCTAAAAACTTACTTGCTTTAAAAAAGAAAAAAAAGTTAGGCATGTATTGCCTGCTAGACCTATTT